GCTCTCCTCTCCAGCAACACTACACAACACCTGCCTCAGTAAACACCTGCTCTCCTCTCCAGCAACACTACACAACACCTGCCTCAGTAAACACCTGCTCTCCTCTCCAGCAACACTACACAACACCTGCCTCAGTAAACACCTGCACTCCTCTCCAGCAACACTACACAACACCTGCCTCAGTAAACACCTGCACTCCTCTCCAGCAACACTACACAACACCTGCCTCAGCAAACACCTGCTCTCCTCTCCAGTAACACTACACAACACCTGCCTCAGCAAACACCTGCACTCCTCTCCAGCAACACTACACAACACCTGCCTCAGTAAACACCTGCACTCCTCTCCAGCAACACTACACAACACCTGCCTCAGCAAACACCTGCACTCCTCTCCAGCAACACTACACAACACCTGCCTCAGTAAACACCTGCACTCCTCTCCAGCAACACTACACAACACCTGCCTCAGCAAACACCTGCACTCCTCTCCAGCAACACTACACAACACCTGCCTCAGTAAACACCTGCACTCCTCTCCAGCAACACTACACAACACCTGCCTCAGCAAACACCTGCACTCCTCTCCAGCAACACTACACAACACCTGCCTCAGCAAACACCTGCACTCCTCTCCAGCAACACTACACAACACCTGCCTCAGCAAACACCCGCACTCCTCTCCAGCAACACTACACAACACCTGCCTCAGCAAACACCTGCATTTTAGAAACATCGCTCACATACTTCCGGAAATCAGGTTTTAACACCTGCTAAATTTACGAATAAGATAAATTTACAGTTTAAAAAACACGTTCTATTGTGCTGACAGATGATGACTTTTGTATCACATAAGGTGACTGGGGCAAGATGACCTCATACACTAATGAATAATACAACAAAATGTTGTATGCATACACGGTTATGTATGAAAATGATAGGACACACCTAAAATTGTATTTGAGTATAGCTTTGATGTAGTGTTTACAAGAGGATACAGCATGTATTTGACAAGTCAAACATGTAAATACAGTAAGCATTCTAGTCGTACAAGAATGCCCTTATTATAACCTACCAGAGGACCAAAAACAGAAAACGGGACAGTATGTGAATTTCCGCGAGCCGCTTTCATTTTCTAGTGCGACGATTTTTGGCCTTAGGGAGGGAGAGTATACGTTAAAAATACGACGTTCTATTATGGTTACAACCCAGACACGATAGGGGCGGATCTCGTAGATAGAGATGGAATATGCTGCCCGAAACGCTTTGCGTAATAGTGGCTTTATACAATACAATTTTATTTAGGTAAGGTACATACATACAATAAATTTTTACAAGGATTGGTTGACTTATAGGTAGAGCTAGTACATACAATGCCTAAAGCCACTATTACGCAAAGCGTTTCGGGCATAGGCATTGGGCATTGTATGTACTAGCTCTATCTATAAATCCATCAACTTTTGTATCTCACCTTGTATGTATGTACTTTACCTGAATAAATATTTGTATTTGTTGTATTTGTAGAAACTTTTACCATTCTGAAGAAATTAAAGGATATTAATCCAGACCATTTCTTTAAAAGGTCATATACAATACATATAAGGTCATATACAACACATATAAGGTCATATACAACACATATAAGGTCATATACAACACATATAAGGTCATATACAACGCATATAAGGTCATATACAACACATATAAGATCATATACAACACATATAAGGTCATATACAACACATATAAGATCATATACAACACATATAAGATCATATACAACACATATAAGGTCATATACAACACATATAAGGTCATATACAACACATATAAGATCATATACAACACATATAAGGTCATATACAACACATATAAGGTCATATACAACACATATAAGGTCATATACAACACATATAAGATCATATACAACACATATAAGGTCATATACAACACATATAAGGTCATATACAACACATATAAGATCATATACAACACATATAAGGTCATATACAACACATATAAGGTCATATACAACACATATAAGGTCATATACAACACATATAAGGTCATATACAACACATATAAGGTCATATACAACACATATAAGGTCATATACTACACATATAAAGGTCAGCAGCATCAAATTGTTAAGTTCGTTCTAGATGGGAACCCATTTTCTGGGCACATATATATACAGGCTGCCTGTCCCGGACAAAATGAGCCATACAAATTGAGTCACAATGCAGGACAACAAACAGATGATTTTCCACCCATAAGGTTATAAACTCATGGAACCGCCTACCCGTCGGAGCTGTAACTGACAAGACATTACTACAACTCAAAAGCCAACTGGGAAAAAAAAATATCAGGACAAATGGGGGGGGGACGTTTAACATGCTGCCGACTTCCTGTCCCCGTCATGGCCGCTAGACAGATGGTGGGTCTCAGGTATATTATTGTTGTGATTGAATGAGTATACTCTGAAGGGTATACCATGGTGTGAATGGTTTGAGTATACTCAAGCCGCTGAGGTGAATGGTTTGAGTATACTTAAAGCAGTGAGGTGAATGGTTTGAGTATACTCAAGCAGCTGAGGTGAATGGTTTGTGTATACTCAAGCAGCTGTGGTGAATGGTTTGAGTATACTCAAGCAGTGAGGTGAATGGTTTGAGTATACTCAAGTAGCTGTGGTGAATGGTTTGAGTATACTCAAGCAGCTGTGGTGAATGGTTTGAGTATACTCAAGTAGCTGTGGTGAATGATATGAGTATACTTAAGCAGCTGAGGTGAATGGTTTAAGTATACTCAAGTAGCTGAGATGAATGGTTTAAGTATACTCAAGCAGCTGAGGTGAATGGTTTAAGTATACTCAAGTAGCTGAGATGAATGGTTTAAGTATACTCAAGCAGCTGAGGTGAATGGTTTAAGTATACTCAAGTAGCTGAGATGAATGGTTTAAGTATACTCAAGCAGCTGAGGTGAATGGGTTGAGACCTACCTAACGCCACTGAGGTATCAACCTCCAGGTAGCACGTGGTCTCACACTGAGGTGTTGTTGGTAAACAAACCCTAGAGTGAGAGCACGTTGTAAACATGCTTGTAAACATGTTTGTAAACAGACCAATCCACTGATCAACGACCCCCAATCACCTCACAATAGTTATGTCTTCTAATTATTAACATATAAGATATATATCTTATATCTACAAATACAAATAAATATATATATATATATTTCTACACAATGTAACATTCACAAATGCACAATTATATTACGACAAGCACATATCTTTGGTATTATCAGGCACAACTGTTTTAGTAGCAGATATCGACAAGAATATATATCCTATACAGAGATATGTAGTGTTGCACTTATTGGTTTATGGAAGAGACATTTGGATACATGTGTGTGCGGAGCCCCATATATACACAATGGCTGAGTCTGTACCTCTTTGTCTGTACCTCACTGTACCTCTCAGTCTGTACCTCTGAGTCTGTACCTCTTTGCACTTCTCCATATATACACCAGGGATCTCCCATCTCAAATATATATAGAGAGGATGAAAGAACTAGAGGAATGCAAGAGAGGAGCCTCTGTAACGTACAGAGAGGCAAGGGCAGCTTAAAGTAGCACAAATAATGGTGCCGGTTCTTGGTGCACTCAAGAGGCAGTGTTCCTGAGTGACAGCACTCAAGATGCAGTGTTCCTGAGTGACAGCACTCAATATGAAGTGTTCCTGAGTGACAGCACTCAAGATGCAGTGTTCCTGAGTGACAGCACTCAAGATGCAGTGTTCCTGAGTGACAGCACTCAAGATGCAGTGTTCCTGAGTGACAGCACTCAAGATGCAGTGTTCCTGAGTGACAGCACTCAAGATGCCGTGTTCAGAGGCCAGTTGACTTTGATTCTGAAGGATAACTATGATAGTCTGATATTGATATCCAAGCATTTATCAACATTATCCACTTAACTTGCTTCCATTTGTTTATGAAAATAAATTATGTATGCAATTCAAAATGCATATACAGGAAATTTTGGATAAAGGCAGATTTCCATTCCATTACACACGTAATATCACATTGAAAGCATAACACCACGATATAAATTATTATTTTCACAGAAATGACACGATCATGAGCAAAGTGAGGTTGACTTACCATATCTGAGCTTTATGCTAAGATATGGTAACATTTCAAATGTCTGTTCAACAAGAACAGCTCCCTAAGGCCTCTGCCAGGCTGTGAAAACAACTCCCCCTTTTATGGCGTCTGCCAGGCTGTGAAAACAACCCCCTTTTATGGCGTCTGCCAGGCTGTGAAAACAACCCCCTTTTATGGCGTCTGCCAGGCTGTGAAAACAACCCCCTTTTATGGCGTCTGCCAGGCTGTAAAAACAACCCCCCTTTTATGGCGTCTGCCAGGCTGTGAAAACAACTCCCCCTTTTATGGCGTCTGCCAGGCTGTGAAAACAACCCCCTTTATGATCTGAGCACGAAGCTCTTGTTCGATGGTACAGATAACTTACTTGCTAAAAGACATCACACTAACTTAAGTTGCACTATAGTAACTATAATATTGATTGGCCGATTGGTCCAACAATCAGAGCGGTTGGTTCTTATAGTCTCAAGAGAGTTCCCAACCTGATTGGTGCCACTCTCAACTACTGTCTTCCCAACCTGACCTGGCAACCTTTTCAAAACTATTCACAACCAATATTTTTAAGACCTGTATAAGCTTAGCGTATTGCAAAAGTACTTCGTATATAAATAAGAATGTGTTGAATCCCTATAAATTCACGTGTTTACCTCACCATACCTTTCTGTTTACGCTAAGCACCAAGTGTTGATACAATTGCAAACACACCATAGTTTTTTTCCCCAACAGTTGGCTGTAACCTCTGCAACAGTATCTCTCCAAACACCTGTTGCAACAGGGTCATACGAGGCAGGTGTTGTGACCTCTCTCGTGGTGCCACTGGTGAGAGAAGGGGGTGTAGGGAGGTCACTGCTGGAGCGGATTATAGTGACAGAACACCCGACACACCTTCCTCCAGCTGACTCTGATCATGTGGCCGGTGGCGGAGCGGAACTTGTGGTTGTAGGAGAGATGAAGGACGGCGTTCCACAGGCTGTTGAGGGCCATCAGCCACGGCGCCACGAACAGCAGCTGCTTGAGGGGCGCCGGGTTGTTGATGGTGTCCTGCGGAGGAGCCAAACATGTCTTAATACTCGACTCTCAACTCAGGATAATACGTCTAACGTCTTATGTTCATACACTAGAAGGTGAAGGGACGACGACGTTTCGGTCCAGTCCTGGTTCATTCTCAAGTCGATTGAGAAGGGTCCAGGACGGACCGAAACGTCGTCGTCCCTTCACCTTCTAGTGTGTGGTCTGGTCAACATACTTCAGCCACGTTATTGTGACTCATCGCCGCTTGCTTATGTTCATATAGTTAAATACAGAAAGACAATTATTCGTGTGCAATTATTGGCACAAAGATTATTTACATTTGTAAAAACTGATTTAAAGGTTTTACTGTCAAATTCAAGAGTTACAATCTGGAATGTAAATAGGAATATAAGGCTGAGTGGTATGAAGAATGAGGCAAGGAAAGAGTGAGACAGTACATGGGTTGGAATCCCTCCCCCCGCCCTATGGGGGACAGGGCAGAGTGTCCAGTCCCCCCTTCACACGTCCTCATCATCCTAATGGTAACTCATCCTCATACCTGTGTACTCATCAACGTTACAGTGATTCACTGTCTCTTCACACCGTCATATTGTTGACGAAACACATGAAAGATGAAAATAAATAAATAATATGAATAATAAGTAAATAAGATGAAAGAATTAGTAAATAAGATGAAAGAATTAGTAAATAAGATGAAAGAATTAGTAAATAAGATGAAAGAATTAGTAAATAAGATGAAAGAATTAGTAAATAAGATGAAAGAATTAGTAAATAAGATGAAAGAATTACACTTCCGAGATCTCGACAAGAAAAATATGCATATTTTTAAATGAACACTTCAGAGATTTATGAAAAGGAGGAGATTGACTTTGTCCTCAATCCTCAACTGCTGGCGCCCAGTTTACCTAGCAGGAACCAGGGACCTGGTTGTTAATCAGTAAGCGGATCATGCTCCAGGGAGAACACATGGGGCTTACCACGAGCTATGGGAAGGGAAAGCTCTCACCCTGGGAAGGGAAAGCTCTAACCCTGGGAAGGGAAAGCTCTCACCCTGGGAAGGGAAAGCTCTCACCCTGGGAAGAGGCGCCAGAAGCCGTCTGCCTCTGTACCCACCTGTATAAAGGAGAGTGCTCCTGTACCCACCTGTATAAAGGAGAGTGCTCCTGTACCCACCTGTATAAAGGAGAGTGCTCCTGTACCCACCTGTATAAAGGAGAGTGCTCCTGTACCCACCTGTATAAAGGAGAGTGCTCCTGTACCCACCTGTATAAAGGAGAGTGCTCCTGTACCCACCTGTATAAAGGAGAGTGCTCCTGTACCCACCTGTATAAAGGAGAGTGCTCCTGTACCCACCTGTATAAAGGAGAGTGCTCCTGTACCCACCTGTATAAAGGAGAGTGCTCCTGTACCCACCTGTATAAAGGAGAGTGCTCCTGTACCCACCTGTATAAAGGAGAGTGCTCCTGTACCCACCTGTATAAAGGAGAGTGCTCCTGTACCCACTTGTATGAAGGAGAGTGCTCCTGTACCCACCTGTATAAAGGAGAGTGCTCCTGTACCCACCTGTATAAAGGAGAGTGCTCCTGTACCCACCTGTATAAAGGAGAGTGCTCCTGTACCCACTTGTATAAAGGAGAGTGCTCCTGTACCCACCTGTATAAAAAGGAGAGTGCTCCTGTACCCACCTGTATAAAGGAGAGTGCTCCTGTACCCACCTGTATAAAGGAGAGTGCTCCTGTACCCACCTGTATAAAGGAGAGTGCTCCTGTACCCACCTGTATAAAGGAGAGTGCTCCTGTACCCACCTGTATAAAGGAGAGTGCTCCTGTACCCACCTGTATAAAAAGGAGAGTGCTCCTGTACCCACCAGTATAAAAAGGAGAATGCTCCTGTACCCACTTGTATAAAGGAGAGTGCTCCTGTACCCACCTGTATAAAGGAGAGTGCTCCTGTACCCACTTGTATAAAGGAGAGTGCTCCTGTACCCACTTGTATAAAGGAGAGTGCTCCTGTACCCACTTGTATAAAGGAGAGTGCTCCTGTACCCACCTGTATAAAGGAGAGTGGTCCTGTACCCACCTGTATAAAGGAGAGTGCTCCTGTACCCACCTGTATACAGGGGAGGACATGGAGAAAAAAAGACATGTCAATGACTGACCTGCTGAGTGAAGTAGAGGAACATCATCCACCCCCCGACGCCCAGGAGCGGGAAGCAGGCGAAGATGAACACGGCCACGTTGACCAGGACGGTACAGGTGATCTCTCTGTCTCTCTCTCTTACCGTCACGCGCTCCCCGCCCACCGTCCTGTACGGTGATAGGATAGGATAGGATAGATAGGATTAGTTACACCCACACGTCACTCTACCCGCCCACTGTTCTGTAACACACTCTAGTTAGCTCTAGAATAAACGTACATTTTACATGGTAGTAAATCATCAAATCAGATTCAACTTCAGATTTACAATGTTAATATTACCAATAAAAATGAGGCAAAGTTTCATGACCTATATATAGACAAGAGACTCAACTTCAGCACCCACATTCAACATATAGTAGCCAAAAAAATCTTACAAACGGTTGGTATACTTTCTAAAATCAGATATTATGTTCCCCACTCTGATCTCCTCTCATTATACTACGTACTAGTCTATCCCTATCTGACATACGGTGTCTGTGCATGGGGTTCAACCACTGCAAATTACCACAAGCCCATCATCACCCAGCAGAAGTCTGCTACCAGAACAATAACAAACTCTGTCTTCAGACAACACACAGCCCCCCTCTGTTTAAGTCCCTTAACATGCTAAACATACACTCACTCCACACACATTCTAATGTGCTATCTACATGTACAAAACCTTGTTCCTAAATGCTAATCTTGATCTGAAACTTTACAATGCTAGCTGTAATAGAACCCATGAGCACCACACCAGAAATAAATATCTCTTTCATATCTCCAGAGTCAGACTAAATCTGTGCAAACACTCCATACAAATAAAGGGACCCAGTCTATGGAACTTACTCCCTGATGAATTAAAAAATTGTCCAACCCATGCCCGGTTCAAAAGGAAAATAAATAAGTACTTAATTTCATCCTCCTAGTTTTCTACCTTGTGCTTCAAACTCACACTGTGTCTTGTACTACCAACTTTCCTAATATTAGTACCTTAAGACATATATCCTTATCAGTGTAGTCACCTCTGTCAACTTATGTTGTAGTTATTTGTTGATATAAAACCTTGTGAAGGCCTCGGAGCTTCCTACAAGGTGGAGGCCTTGGAGCCTCCTACAAGGACGAGGTCTCGGAGCCTCCTACAAGGACGAGGCCTCGGAGCTTCCTACAAGGTGGAGGCCTCGGAGCCTCCTACAAGGACGAGGTCTCGGAGCCTCCTACAAGGACGAGGTCTCGGAGCCTCCTACAAGGACGAGGCCTCGAAGCCTGCTAAACAAGTGAAGCAACTGACCCTCTGAGGCGTCTGATGGTGGCAGCAACGTGGTGTTGGGTGGTGTTAGGAGAGAGCAGCCGTCGGAGGCCAAGAGAGCCCAACATGCTCTGGCGGCACGACCTGTCGAGTGGTGGTGGTGGCTCTCCTGCACCTGCTGCCTCTAGTGCCGCCGGCGCCGCCCCCGCCTCCCTCCCTGCGGGGCACCACACTGGGAACACTGACGCAGGCAATACTTGGTGGAAAGGAATAAGAAAAAGTTCATTAATATTATTGGTATTTACACACAGAAATCATAATAGCGTGATGCATCAATTGAACAAATCCACGATGGATTTACAGTACTGTTTGAGGTCAGTTGAACTGCAGGTTGCAATTCTTTTGGCCATGTCGTAGCACAGTCGATTAAGGCGCGTCTGGGATCCTCTCAGACGTAGGTTCGAACCCTTATACGGCCCTTGTGGATTTGTTCATTATTGGTATTTGATAATCTGTTGGGTTCACCTCACTTCAAAAGGGCACAGTTTGAACTTTTTCAAACTACATAAGCCATAGAATAATTGATTTCTTAACTTCACACTGAACACAAAAGTTTTAGTCTTTTAAAAACACAATCCTGATCACGGCTCAACTTTTCTCAACAAATTCTTTATTCACTTTCTATATTCTTAGCACACTTCTCTAAATGGTTCACATGCATATTATAGATGTCAATCATTAGTAACTGAACGAAAAACACTTAACTTAATATAGGCCTAACTATATACAAAAACTGAAATATATTAATTTGTAATTATATTTGAGAAAAAGTTTTTAATTACATCTTTAAACATAAATTAAGTTTGAACATCTTTGAATGAGCACAAAACGTACCTGTGAATATTTGATTTTTATACAAATCAAACCAATCTGGACTTGACCTAACCAAACCAAAGTGACACATTGAGATCAAGCGTGAAGCAAGGTAATGTTGCTCTTATTAGGGTTTAGAGATCAATTACTGGGAGAGGGGGGGGGGGAGACCTGCAGCATTGAGAGGGCTGTGCAGAGGTGGGGACCTGCTGCTTGGGTAACAGCTTCTCCCCCGTATCAACCCACCCAGGCTTCGCGCCCTGGAGAGGCCACTTTAGACCGAGAACCAACGCGCAACTCCATAGTCTCCTGAGGCTGGTGGAGGCCTACTATTTAACTAAGACCGGAAGAGTGTACTTCTGAGAGTAAATACAGGTTTTTAAAGTACACACAGGATTCAACTCATTGTCTATGAGTTAATCATATGTGGCCAATCAGTCCGACCTCCTAAGGTTGCACAACGTCAAAAAAAAAAAAACAACGTCAAAATAAAGTGGTCTCTCCTAACCTACCAGAGGACCCACAACAGAAAACGGGACGGTACGTCACTTTCGCCAGCCGCTTCCATTTTCTAGTGCAACAATGTTTGGCTTTGTGTAACGCATTCGAGCGAAAAGCGACGTTCTTTATAGGAGGAGAGGCTGGTCAATAGGCACTTTAGCCAGAACAAGCTACGTACTATTAAATGTAACCTATCCCATTGGTCTTTCTGCTACAGCCATGACACCATATATGAATATGGTGTTATGTCTGAATCAGAAAGACCAATGGGATAGGTCACATCTAATACTACGCAGCTTGTTATTCGTAATACCCAACCATCTATCCCTCCAAGGGTTGCAGAGTGCGTCATGGACGACAGGATAGAAATCTGAATAAAGAATCCGATTCCAGATGGAAGAGGCACGAATGTCTTCTCCAGCACCGGCTTCTGTGTTGGCAGTAAAGACTACACCAATACGCCTCGGGAGCTATAGGAAATTCTGTGTGATATGAGCTACACAGGAGGAAGAGCCAGCACTCTGCTTCCCTCTCCCACCTTCTTCCCAGCAACAGGAAGGGGAATTACCAGGGGGAAAACGCTAAGCCATTAAGACTATATAGCACTTGGAAGGGGTTAGGATAAGGATTTGGGATGGGACGGGGGGTACACCCCCGAGCATGACATCAGCCTTGACACTACTGGCATGACATCAGCATTGACAGCACTGGAATGACATCAGCTTTGACAGCATTGGCATGACATCAACCTTGACACTACTGGAATGACATCAGCCTTGACACTACTGGAATGACATCAGCCTTGACACTACTGGCATGACATCAGCCTTGACAGCACTGGCATGACATTAGCCTTGACAGCACTGGCATGACATCAGCCTTGACAGTACCAAGTCCAAACGATACATCCGCCTGCCGACCCCCGCCATCTCTCGACTAAACCCGCACCAGACTGCTCCCTCACCTCAAGATCTAACCAGAAAAAATCTATAAAATTCCAATTGCCCTTCAGGGCAGCATAGAGGACCATGTGACAATCATTGCACCACGTTTCCTGACGGCCGCCACAGGCAGAGCAGGAGCCGGACATCAACTAAGCGGCCATATTGAACCACCAGTCCCCCAGGTGCCTACGCCACCCGGGCCGATGGCACACGTTACCAGGAGTGTGAGAGCAATGTTCTATCGCCTTGTATATCAGCATTTCCTGCCTTCGTTTGTAGGAAAAGTCTATTTTTAATCATATAATTTCTAATTCGCTTTGTTTGGGACGGGAAGTCTGTGTATATGCAGTATATACTTGTACTGATGTCCCTTGCAAGGTCTAATGGCCCTGGCCAGGATGCAACCCCACAACAGTTGCCTAGCTTACAGGTACCTATTTGGTGCTAGGTGAACAGAGGCATTACGTAAAAGAAAACGTGTCCAACCTTTTCTTTCCCAACCCGGGATTCGAATCCGGGATTCTCGATTATGCGTCAAGAAGTACCGAGACCCTTAAAGTATATGCAAGTTCTACATATAGTTAGTTGTAGGTTAGGTTAGGTGTTTAGGTTCTGTTGGGGATAATTTGTATTTGAAGCACGTGGGTGAAGCATTTATAGAATTGTGGTACGAACAGAGGAAGTTTTTCATTCATAAACAGGGGGTTTGGCGGCTGCATTCACGAGCTTGGATCTTTGTATGCGAGGACTGGCTGAGATGGAATAGACTAGGTCTGAGGACGGGTTGATAAATGCTTCACCCACGTACTACAAATACAAATTCAGCCCGTCCTCATAAACAAAGGCCAAAGTCCGTTCCATGCACCCGCCTAACCCCAGCTGTTTATGAATAAAACGGTTTACACACGCCTCACAATTGATGGCGTCCGAACACTTCCGGAACAAGTGCTTTGCTGACGACTTTTGTTCGAACTACAATGCTATAAAGGCTTCACCCACGTACTACAAATATACAGCCCGTCCTCCAAACAAAGATCCAAAAGTGATTCCATGCACCCGCCAAACCCCCTGTTTATGAATGAAAAGCGGTTTACACACGACTCACAACTGCTGACGTTCGAACAGTTCCGGAACAAGTGCTTCACTGACGAATTTTGTTCGAATCACAACGCTATAAATGCTTCACCCACGTACTACAAATACAAATAATCGCCAACAGAACCTAAACACCTGACCTAACCTAACCTATGCCTATATATGCACAATATGCTAATATATTATAATATTAGTTTATATTTGAGAAAATTCTTGTTTTGAATGAACAGCATGTTAAAATTTATGAATGCGTCTGTGGGGGCGACCGCTGGATGTAATGGACTTGAGTCGAGGACGGGTTGAAATATAACAGCCCGTCCTCGCATACAAAGATCCAAGCTCGTTAAACCAGCTGCCAGACTTGTGTAAACGTTTATGAATGTAAAGCGGATATTGAGAGTAAAGAGGCTAAAATTGAGGCATAACATTCATAAGTGAAAGGTGGAAGGCTGTACTGACCTGAGAGAGTGCGTGAGTAGTCGTCTAAGTCAGTATCTCCTGCAGCAGACATCCGCACCAAGGAGGTCGTCAGAGTCGGGTCGTAGTTCCCGTTGTCACGCTCCACGCTTTTCTTTTTAAATGTATATTTGATCTTGTATGGCGGTGGCGTTGAGGTGTGATGGTGGGCGGCGGCTTTGGCGCCATTGGGATGTACATGGGTGGGCGTGGCGGTGAGGTTGACCATGGCGGCCAGGCTGGTGGAGCTGGCCTGGCGCGAGAGGGTACAATGGTTCTGCGTCAGCTGGAGGGCTGACTTGACCTGCCGGACTGATCGGTCCCGCGTGTACGAGTTGTACTTGCGTAGCGCCCTGAAGGAGAAGATGAGGAGAGAGATGATGGGGAGCCCCACCACCACCAGCGTCACGCTCAGCGGCACCGCGTGCTTCAGGTACACTTTGTAGTCCGCTGTAGCGATCTTGCTTTCGATGTTGATGATGTGGACGTCGAACGACGAAGTGTCGTAGTTAATGCATATGTCTTCTTGCATCTGGGGTCTGTAGACGAAGTGAAGCGAGGGCACGAGGAGGCCGCAGCCCCAGGACATGACGAGGGCGGCGGTGACGCGGCTGGAGGTGACGAGGGCGCGGTAGTGAGTCCTGGTCAGCAACAGGTAGCGGTCCAGGCTCATCAGTGACAGTGTGTACAGCGATATAATCATGTTGGACGTGACGAAGAAGCCGCTAATCTGCGTGAGCACGTCCGACACGCCCCACAGGCAGTTGGGAACGTGTCGGAAAAGCTGACCTTCCTTCAGGTTGCCGTAGTATGGGAATCTATCTAAGGGAATTTCTGTGAGGCCAACCCACTGGTTATAAGCGGCATGACCGCACACGATAATCCCTATGAAGAAATCTGTAGCTGCGAGCGAGAACCTGAGGTAATACTTGGGCTTGTGGAACTGTGGACAGGCGACGGTGACGACCATGATGACGACACTCATCAGGGTAATGCAGACAGAGACAAACAACATGAAGACCAGCACCAAGGTCTCCGCCGCCCAGCACTGCCACGGCATGCAGTCTGACGCTGACATCTCGAAGACCGAGTGGTTGGTCGCGCACACGAAGTCGCTGGAGCACATGGGCCACGAGTGGTGGAGGACGATCATGTTTGTGAGGTTGAGCAGACACACGTGCTGGTACTCTGCCACGTGACCCAACTGCACCACGTGGTACACACCGTTCTGGTGCTGCCGCTCTTCGCTGCCCTCCACCTGCGAGCACCACAGTCTGGAACACTCCTCCAGACCAAGCCGGACGGCGCGGTGAAACCCGTCTTGCACCAGCTGCGAGGCGGCCAGATGGGGGCAGTCCGGCCGCCCTTCTTCACTACCCCAGGCACCTTTCCCCTGCCCGCTCTCACTACCTCTTCCAGCAGATTTATGTAGTAGTTTTTTCTTGCCCGAGGACGCATGTGCGACACCAGGCGGCTGCTGGCTGGTGTTGACACTTGCTACAGTACCGTGAGGTAAGTACACCTCCTGGCTCCCTAGTGGGGTAATGTCTCTCTGGGAGTCTCTCCTCTTCGTCAGTTCTATCGCTCCTCCGCCTACTGTAAACGGCAAGTATGTGTGATTGGGTGGCAGAGGGGGCGAGATAACCTGCCTGCCAAACACGGTCAGGTGTTGGTTGTGGTTGTGGAGGGTGGAGGTGACCGGGGTAGTGTGTTGAGTGTATACCTCAGCCGCCAGAACCACCACCACTACAACCACAGCCCTGACCACCATCGTCGCTCCAGTACACCTCTTCTCACCCACAACCCTTGTCTAGTGGACTGGTGTTGGTGGCCTTGAGTGGCACTCCAGTGCACGAGTGTTTGGGCCTGATATGACCTGCGGATGACTTCCTGGTCACTCACCACGGCTTAGTCCTCCAGTGACTTATGCCACTAACTGGTAATGTAATGGTAACTTTGTAGTGACGGTAACACAAGGAGAACTTGATACCGTTTCAGTGAAATTTAATGATAATTTGCGCAGACTTCAAAATAAACATTCAACAAGCAACAGTATGTACAATACATTTAATTCAAAGTCTTGATATTAACGAACTTATTTCTATATGATCTACAATTCCCGGCAGATGTTCTTGTTTGAACAGAGTTGCCAGAGATTGTTCTTGCTCGAGTAGAGTTGTTAGTGAATACTGTTCTTGCTCGAGTAGAGTTGTTAGTGAATACTGTTCTTGCTCGAGTAGAGTTGTTAGTGAATACTGTTCTTGCTCGAGTAAACTTGCCTTTGAATTTTGTTCTTGCTTTAGTAGGTGCCAGTCAATGTATTCCTTTCCGAGAGCAGACTTGCCAGTGACAGCATTAAGATGACGAGTTACAACTACTGCCAGTGACTTTGATGTGTATGTTATCAGTATTTATTATTCGTTATCGGCAGTTACCAGTTTGTTACTACTGCAGGTAGTACTATCATTCATAAGGTTTTGTTTATAGAGTACTGCTGCCTGTAACCTTCCTGTCATTACCCGTCCCTCTGTGAAGCCTGTCTTAGGCATGACAGCCGGGCTCGATGGTACTCTGGATAACAAAGCTTCGGTGTTCTGGATAATGGTCAAAGCTTCAGGCAATGAACCTTTACCATCAAACTCATTTATTATTCAGAGTTAACAATGAGTGGTTCAAGTTATGAGTGATTGATTTAAAACCAACAGATTCCTTAAGCAAGTGTTCTTTACACTGTATGTAAGCAAGTGTTCTTCACACTTGATATAAGCAAGTGTTCTTCACACTTGACGCAAGGAATAGTTTTCTTCACACTTGACGCAAGGAATAGTATTCTTCAAACTTGACGCAAGGAATAGTGTTCTTCACACTTGACGCAAGGAATAGTATTCTTCACACTTGACGCAAGGAATAGTATTCTTCACACTTGACGCAAGGAATAGTGTTCTTCACATTTGACGCAAGGAATAGTGTTCTTCACACTTGACGCAAGGAATAGTGTTCTTCACACTAGATATAAGCAAGTGTTCTTCACACTTGACGCAAGGAACAGTGTTCTTCACACTTGATATAAGCAAGTGTTCTTCACACTTGACGCAAGGAATAGTGTTCTTCACACTAGATATAAGCAAGTGTTCTTCACACTCGACGCAAGGAACAGTGTTCTTCACAATAGATATAAGCAAGTGTTCTTCACACTCGACACAAGGAACAGTGTTCACAATAGATATAAGCAAGTGTTACTACTGCAGGTAGTACTATCATTCATAAGGTTTTGTTTATAGAGTACTGCTGCCTGTAACCTTCCTGTCATTAGACGCAAACAACAATGTTCTTCACCCTGCTTCAGGTTAACATTTCAGTCAGTGTTAACGCACTTGTTTATTTCTAACTTAACCCTCGTTACTGACAACTTCAGTAATGATGCAAGTGCAGTAGTCAGGTCTTTCTGTAATGATGTGACTACAGTAGTTAGGTCTTTAGTAATTACAGGAGTACAAGTGGTACAGAGTCCCAGAAGTGCTGTTGAGAGTAGGGTGAGGCAGTAGGTCCTTAGGAAGGTGACCTAACCTGACCTTCCTGACGTTCTTGAGGCTATCTTGAGTTGATTTCGGGGCTTTAGTGTCTTCGCGGCCCGGTCCTTGACCAAGCCTCCACCCCCAGGAAGCAGCCCGTGACAGCTGACTAACACCCAGGTACCTATTTACTGCTAGGTAACAGGGGCGTTCAGGGTGAAAGAAACTTTGCCCATTTGTTTCTGCCTCGTGCGGGAATCGAACCCGCGCCACAGAATTACGAGACCTGCGCGCTATCCACCAGGCTACGAGGCTCCTTGTTGGTTGGTGCTGGGGTGGTGGGTCGGGTCTGGTGGTGTCCTCATGGAGGTAAGTGTCTCCGTCTCTCACTCACTCCACCACATTAACCACCACTCCTCAACTCTCCTGAAAGAAAGAGAAGATAATGTATAAGTTGTTTTAATAAGTAATAAAGTAATAGGCTTAATAAATAAGCCCTGTTGTTTCCACAAGCAACAGGGCTCCATTAAGGAACATATAATCTACTCACACAACCAGACCATCACAAGAGAAATCTTAACAAGCAACACAGAAATTATCGACAGATACGGCACCACCATCTCGTACTCCTCTCGTTCCCTTGTCCTCCCCACCATTCCCCACCTCCCCGTTCTCCCCACCATTCACCCCTCGTCCTCCCCACTATTCCCCCCCTCCCCTGTCCCCTTGTCCTTCCCACTATCTCCTGTCCCCTTGTCCTCCCTACCATTCTCCACTCCCCCGTCCCCTCGTCCCCACCAACCCCCACTCCCCTTCTCCTCGTCCTCCCCGCCATTCCCCACTCCCTCGTCTGATGCGTTCCCAAATGATCTGATGTTCACATCAGAAAAATGGGAACATCAAATGATCTGATATTCCCATCATTGAAAAATAAGAACAGTTAAAAAACGAAATGAAAAAAATGAAAAAAATAAATATATAATCTTTACTCACGAAATGAACGGTATGGTAAATAACACAGCTCAATTCCAATGCAATGTCATACAAAATAATTAAATCAAAAGGAAAAAAAAAATCGAAATCTATGAAAATTCAATTTATCAATACAATCAGAAACATTGAAAAGGATTCATAACGTATTTAGTATAGCGTGCGTTGCTGACGTGCAACAGATGGCGCTGTTTAAAAAAAAATGCTTTTACATGTCAAACAGTGTGGCATCTATATAGTAGGTATATAAAAACTTGCGCGTATTCGAATGCAACGTTGTTAAAATTTCAAAGCAATCGGTAAAGGGGTTTCGGAGATTTCCCTCACATGAAAAACATAGTTTAAAAAAAAACTTTTTTTTACCTGTCACAGACGAGACATCTATATAGTAGGTATATAAAAACACGCTCGTAGGCAAATGGAACGTTGGGTCAAAATTTCAAAACAATTTGGTGTCTCGCGGATACACTTACGGAAGTGACTGACCACTCAAGGCCATCATAACATATTAAATAATATTTGACTGACATGATATCAACTCCAGCGCCGCCGCCACGACCATCATGATATTAAGACAACGATGGTCACAATTGACACTGATGGACACGGCTTTATAATTCAGTTGTATAATTTATAATATTCTAATTAAGGGGGCATTAGTTTGGTTTCATAAAAGTTGTTCTAGTGCAATGAAAATTTATTGACGTTTCTCTCATATGTGTTTCAACAGGTGAAGCAGAAGCTGCCTGATAATATCAAATTTTTGACAAGCACGTCTCTCTTCTCACCAAATGATGTTGCTGCCAAGTACGAGCATCTCTTCAGTGTATGAAGTCATCAAGGGCTCAGGTGTATCACAAGGAACAACAGCTAAGGCTGAATACCAATTAGCACAAGCCAATTTAGTTGATTGGAATAATAAGACTGCCAAATAGCCAATTCAGTCGATTGTGAGATCGACTTGAGAATGGTCCAGGACGGACCGAAACATCGTCGGCCCTTCATTTTCTAGTGTGTGGATTGGTCAACTGAGTTCTTTGGCGCTGACAGTCCCCAAGTGGCCATGTGAACGCATAGACTATGTTGGCTTCTTTCAAGGCGTTCTGTTTGGTGTCTGTGGAGTTTTTCATGAGTCGGTTGGCCGTTTTTTTGTTCTTGTAGAAAATTGTCAATTGTATTTTCAGAAGTATTTTCAGATCTT